AGGGAAAAGAGACATCTATCTGGACCTGGTTGACAGTTGGGTCTCCGTCCACGCCTGGAACCACTTTCCGGGCCTCATTGAGGATCCTTTCTCTCTCTTCCGTCGTGAACAGAACCTGTAAAAGCTGCTGACAGTCGTCCCAAGTGGGCTGATGGGTGAAAAGAACAGAATCTAGCAAGTCAATAAGTCCCCCCGGTTTCTCAGAAAACTTGGGGTTTTGTGCCTTCCAGTTATAGAGATCGCATGTTGAAAAAGGCCAATAATGATAGGGCTGGTTGCCATCCGCATCCGGGGGTCCAGCGGCCCGTAAGGGCAGGGTCTTGATAGTGGAGTCGGGTGCTGCAGCAGACAGTTCCCGCTGAGACACAAACACAAACAACAAACGGGCCCGAAAATACAGTCTTCCAACTCCATGGAAGCAGAACCAAAACAGGCTTCCAATTCCATGGAAGCCAAACCCGAAAGCTAGACAAAGCAGGCTTCCAATTCCATGGAGGCCAAACCCGAAAGCTAGACAATGGCCTTACGCCATACTAGCGGGAGCGACCCGCTTTCCGCGAGGGGCATATCCATCCCTCTGAGGGGCATATCCATCCCTCCTGGGGGGGCGGAATGTCTTCCAACTCCCTCCCTCCCCCGCCTGTGGTCTTTTTTGGGCGTGTCCGCCTAGACCCCTCAGGCAATTACAGATTCCAGAAACGAGCTCACACCGAACAGAACACACAACAAACAACAACACACGTACCGCGAGGTCAGTCAGACTCTTCGGATTGGGGGTCCCTTGATGGTCCTGGAACCCTGGGAGAGCCCCCAAAATGTTGTGCCCAGATTTCAAAGTTCCCAAGACCCCCAGGGAGCCAGTCAGTCCAATGCAAAAGCAAAGAGTCTTCAATGTAGCCGGCTTGTGCTCCCCATTCACCAGACTCACTGTCACAGCAGAAAATCCAGTGGCCGAGAGACCAAGGCCTGATGGGACAGGGGGTTTTGTAGGGGGTGGAGTGAGGGCAGGAGAGGGGACTGTGGGCTCCGCCAATTGGCCAGGATTGGGTCGGTACAGGATGTGGTCATAGTGATGGTGTGCACTTCCCTTGATTATTATTGGTTAGTGCAGAGAAATCCTGGGTGTGGCTAGCAGTGGCTTCTTCCGGCGAAGAAGCACATGGCTCTGTGCCAAAATGGAGGACCCAAGGCAAGATGGAGGGAACACATGGCTCTGTCCCAAAATGGAGGACCCAAGGCAAGATGGAGCGCGCAGTCCTCGCCCTGCTCCGGCTGCTGCCGCTTGAACACGCTGCAAGGCTGGATGCCCTCCCACACAGCACCTGTAGCCGGCCTGCAGGCGGACCCGGACTCCCACAGCGGCGCATCTGGGCGGCACAGGCCTAGCAAACGGGGTGCGGCAGGTGTAGCGGCCCAGCTATGGAAGAGCAGCATCCGCTCAGAGCAGGCACAGGGCTGGGGCACTGCCGCATGGCGGCCCCCCCAGGCCATGGCACGTGCCCCACTCTGCTGCCGCTGCACTGGGGGCCGCAGGTCCACGCGGGCCACATGGGCCTGTTCCGGGGGCAGTGGGCGGGCAGCAGCCCATGCTGGGCTCCCACCGTGGGCCGAGGGGCTGATTCACGAGGCCGCCAGCGGCATTGCTAGGCCCCGCCTCATGGTGCTCGGTGGCTGGCCCACGCAGGCCCCAGTCCCCTCCAATCAGGCCCCAAGGGCTGCACAGACTCCCGGCCACAGCGCGGTCAAGCGGGAAGCAAACTACGGGGGAAGGGAGGTAAGGGCTAGGCAGTGAGGCCTTCCATTCCCACGACCTGCCCCATGGTCGGTCGCCACCCGGCCCCACCCCTCGGTCCACCGCTGGCCAAGCAGCCGCAGCCAGTCTGGACACTCGGAGCCACTCTGGGGAGGCCAGGCCCCTATGGCAGGCGCAGACGATCTCAGAGCCCAGTGGCCAGACTCCTCCTCCCGCACTGCCAGAGAGGTGGGCCGCACACATTTCAGTAAGGACGTGATGGTACAATTGAGCAGGGAGGACTCGGGAGCCTGGGCCTTTTGTGGGTGTAAAGGCAACAAAGAAATGAGGTGAGGTTTTGCACTAGGAGTTTTACTTTCACTCTCAGAAAGCTGGGTCCATAGATACTAGTTTTGCGGAAGGAGGAACATGCGGGCCAAAAGGGAAAAGAATTATGGATTTATTAGGCCATCTGAAAGGCTCAAAAACCGTCCTGTTGAGGGACTTGGGAGGCAGAAGCTGGTCCCCAGGCTGACACAGTGTCACTTGTCTGCTTTTGCTGCTTTTCGGGGCCTGGAGCTGAAATGCAACTGAGACCTAGATGTGATCTGAGGGAGGCAAAGGTCAGGGGTCTTAGTTGCCTGACTTGTTAATTGTTAGGGGAGGGTAGGTTACCCTGGGGGCGATGTTCTTGTTTCCCAGTGTGTTGGTTTTCTAAAAAATATTTTTTTTTTGATTTTTTACAGAGGAATGGAGTGGGATAGAGAGTTAGGAACACCAATGAGAGAGATACATTGATCAGCTGCCTCCTGCACACCCCCTACTGGGGATGTGCCCGCAACCAAGGTACATGACCTTGACCAGAATCGAACCTGGGACCTTTGAATCCATAGGCCCGGCGCTCTATCCACTGAGCCAAAATGCTCAGGGCAAGGGAGTCAGATTTTTAAAGGACTCTAAGGTGGGCTATTTCTGGTCAGAGAATTCTCTGTTTAGGTCTGCATTCTGGGAAATACTGGAGGGGAGAGGTAACAGTCTTAGCAAGTGGAATGTGGTCCAAGCAAGTTGAATGTCCATTGTGAAATGACATAAAGGTAAGTTCCCAGGGGAGGGGGCATCTATTCAATTATTTGATCAGACTTAACAATAGATGGTTGTGAAAAAAAGGGGGGAACATTTTCTGAATTAGGGTTCTAACTTTAACTATCATTGCTCAGAGGAAGAAACAGCTAGA